AAAGAAAGAAAGAAAGAAAGAAAGAAAGAGCAAGAAAGTAAGCAAGCAAGCAAGAGCACACCTCACTCAGGGAAGGCTGGTTGGCCCAGCACCTGCTCAGAGCCAAGCCAGGCAGAGTTAATAGTTATGTTAATATGATACAAGATGTTTAAGGGGACTTCCAAAAGAAATGAATTAAAGGATGAGGACATGTTGAGCTGCTTGAAATCCCCTTTTATTATTCATCACAACCCATTAGTACTTTAAGAAACAAAAGAAGCAGAGACCTGCAGCTGGGGCCTTGGACCAGATCGGAGTCCTGGAAAGACAATGTTGATGAACACGGTAACTGGACCAGCAGGGGGCGCAATGGTAAAGGCGCTGGACTCTCACAAGGCCGCCCGGGTTGGAGTCCCAGATCCAGTACCTGCCTTGAAAATGATGCTCACAAGGCCGCCCGGTTGGAGTCCCAGATCCAGTACCTGCCTTGAAAATCCACGCAGGTGCCTGCGCATGGGCACCCAGAATCCAGGAGGAGAAAGGATCACAGTGCGGCCTCCCCGGGGGTTGATCTCTCACTTCCCTCTCTGTCTCTCAAGCTAGCAAGCTCTATGGCAAAAACCTAAAAAGGAAAAGGAAAGAAAGAAAAAGAGAGAAGAAAGAAAGAAAAAGAAAAAAGGAAGGGAGAAAGAAAAAGGAAAGAAAGAAAGAAAGAAAGAAAGAAAGAAAGAAAGAAAGAAAGAAGAAAGAAAGAGAAAGAAAGAAAGAGAGAAGAAAGAAAGAAAGAAAGAAAGAAAGAAAGAAAGAAAGAAAGAAGAAAGAAAGAGAAAGAAAGAAAGAGAGAAGAAAGAAAGAAAAGGAAGAAAGAATGAAAAAGGAAGAAAGAAAGGAGAGAAAGAAGAAAGCAACAGCACACCTCACTCAGGGAAGGCCTGGATGGCCCAGCACCTGCTCAGAGCCAAGCCAGGCAGAGTTAATAGTTACGTTAATGTGATACAAGACGTTTAAGGGGACTTGCAAAAGCTGCCAGAGAATGAATTAAAGCATGAGTACATGCTGAGCTGTTTGAAACCCCCTCTTATTATTCATCACAACCCATTAGTACTTTAAAAAACAAAGTCCAAAGAATTCTAGTGGCTTTTCAAAGATTACACTGACAGTTACACTTCAGATGGAAGATTCGAATCCTAGATGTGGAGAAAACAGTACTGTCCTGTCCTAGTCATGCCCAGTTTAGTCACGCTTCACATGGACCCAGGAACGGCTGCCTTTTCACCCCGAGTCGACTCACTCTCCCTCCAGACCCTGCATGGCCCTCGCATGGGAACACATACTTTTTTTTTTTTTGGAGAGATTTTCACTGTAGGGTGCGTGCGCTCGCCAGACAGACAGAGAGAGACATAGAGACCGAAAGCGAGAAATCACCCCCCAGGGGGGATGGTCACGCCGCAATCCCTTCTCCTCCATTCTCCTCTCGGGATCTTGGGCACGCACGCACACGCGCCCGGCGTGAGTTTTAAGCCACCGGGTCCGGGACACGAACCGCGGTCGACTACGTGGGAGTCCAGTGACATAGCCATTACGCTAACTGCTGGGGGAACACATACTTTTGTGCTGTTTGGAATTTGCCTCCCAAACCGAGGTTCTAGTCACACTCATGCTTAATACTTGATCTTCCAGCATGTAGGTTCTATCTTTAAAAATAATGTTTATAAGTAAACTATAAGAGTTTAAAAATATTTAGTTTTAAAATGATTTGTTGAGGCCAGCAGGTGGAGTGATGGTTGGGCACTGGACTTCCATATGGCCTACCATGGTTCAAGTCCTGGACCTGGCGGCTTGCTTACTATCTCTCTCTCTCTCTGGTGAGCACGTATGCCCTATAGCAAATTAAAATAATAATAATCCTAAATAAAAATTTTAAAAAAAGAGATATCGTAAAATGATTTGTCTTCTCCGATCTAGGTCATTTCATGCTTAAACTTAGTAATGTGAGACATTCTACACACACCAAATAAAAGCACCTTCATACTGAATACTGCAGCAGGGGCAACTGCTTTCCCATCCAGGAAATCCTGACACTCATTTGGAAGTGAGTGTACTGAGAGCAGGCTAAGGGCAGAAGGTTATTTTAAAACTATTTCTAAAAATAAATTCTATAGTCTACTTTTGAACACTACTTTTGAGGTCGGAGCCTATCCGCTGGGAGATCAGTAGGGAAGCCATTGCTGTCAGTCAGGTACCGAGGACCTGCCTTGGGGGCATAGCTTGAACAAAGACCATGTGGACTCAGAGTCTTTGCTCTAGGAATTTCCCTATGAGATGAAGGGCCCCACTCATCCTGATGTACTCTTACACTCACCAACACCAATGGCATTTCCTCCATAAAGCTCAAAATTATTACATGTATCCAGTGTTGACGGCAAATTTAGACTATAAAATAGATGGATGGGTCTACAAAGTAGTTGAGTCCACGAGTGGGATTACCTGGCTATGGCAGGATGAAGCCCTAAGCCAAGCGTGCTTCTCAAGCTCCAGGGGGCACGAGAATCACCAGCAAGCACCATCAGATGCGGGCCCCATCTGCACACTGCGCATGGCTGATCCTGCAGATGTCCGTGGTCGGGAAACACACTCTGAGGAGTAAGGATCTTCTTTTTAAAGGTAAAGAATCTAAAGAGTGGGATGATGACATAACTTTCCCAAGGTTGACATGGTTGGGTAATGAAGGATTTAGAGTATCCCCAGATATGCCACTTTCTTACAAGGATTGTTTTAGCTGAAGGCAATTGATAATGAAAGAAAAAATTAGACATGAGAAAAACTCTTGGGTTTCTAGTCTCTACCAAAGAACAGAATGATCCTTGATGTCAAAGTTTACTAGACTCTCAGCAGTCCAGACAATGCTAGAGAAAACCACGTAACAGACCTTATGATGCAACCCTTACCTTCTCCTTTGTCACAGATTCGCCTTCTCGGGATGCCCTGCCCTCAGAAGTTCAAAGTCCGTTCCGTTTGTCTTGTCACTTCTCTACAAATGAATTGTCTGCTGTTACGAAAGCTGCGTTCTAACCGCCCACCATGTTCTTAGCCAAGTACTGCCTGCATGTGCTTCACGTTGCTAGTAGACATCTGTCTTTCTTACTGGTCTGTCTTTGTCTAATTTGCAGAGTTCCAGCCAATGAACCTAAGATAAGTATAGTTTCCTCCTCAAAATTAAAAAAAGAAATCTTGATTATTCATATTCATTGATTGTCCCTGGGGGGGGGATACATCTTACACATTAATAGATGAGATAGAGCAAAAAGGAATACAAAGAAAAGAGACTTTTGGCAATACATGTTAAATAATGGCTCTCACAAATTTCCTAAAGTTAATGTATTCCTAGTTAATGTATCCTTATCCCCGTATCCATCGTGGCTAGCCAGTACATGTAACAGCTGTTTTCTACATGGACCTCCGGTGCCCGCTGTTAACCTCTCTTGGTATGGTGCGGTTCTGTTTAGCATATGTGCTGCCCTAGCGAGGACTGAGCCGTTCTTTGGAAAAAAGTTACTGTAGGGTTGGCAGGGGTGGCAGTTTGATTCCCATACCTGGTAGCTTGCCTTCTCACTTTCCTTCTTTCTCTCTGTCCCTCTCTGGTCAAATTAAAATAAGTCAATAATTTAAAAAATCAATAAAGTTAAGTAAAATCATTTTTTAAAAAGTTACTGTGGGAGCAGCCATGCAGAGGTGAGCTTGCACAGCCGGCAGAATGCTCCCTGGGCAGTCACCAGCCTACCGTCCAGCGGGGCCTCCAAGCCCACGAGCTCAGTGTGGGCTTTTCAGAGGAGGAGACCGAAACCCAGACGAGGCGTGCCTCCAGGTCCACAGCATTCTGTCTCTCTGTCTCTCTCTGTCTGTCCGGCGAGTGCATGCGCCCTATAGCAAGAAACCTCTCCAAAAAAAAAAAAAAAAAATTATATTATCCTTTCTATTCAGAGAAAAATCACTGGTCATAGCTACTTTGAAAATTAATTACATGACCAATTCTATCATAATTTTTATGAATCATATGAATAACAATCATTTTTCATTTTCAACAGCAAAGGGCCATTTTGAAGGCTAAAATTTAGAGAATAAACAGGATATCCATTATCAGAGTATGAAATGGGATTTCCAGATTTATATTAATTTTCTACATTTGGGAAAGTATTCAATTTTGAATACATAAACTAATTATTTTCATAAACTATGAGATTTTTAGTCAAAAGTAACTGTACTTTGAATGTTTCTGTACCACAGATTAGAGGTATTTGCTTGAAAGCAATGATGGAGCTACCTCGGCATAAATTTGTGATTACGTATTTACTCATTGATCGGGTATTGGATAAAACATGTTGAATAAATAATAATTCTACTCACTTACCCAGTTGTAATTCTTTCTGCCATAAATATAAATCCTATATACCCTATTCCCACTTTATTTTATGACATGAATTTTACTCATGTGAAAATGCTCTCTTCGGTTGCAATCATTCAACCTCCGTTTGCTTTGGCTATCGTGTTAGTTTATGGTAGATTTCTTTCTCTCAGTCTTCATTACTCTAACTCAGTCTCCCATGGGCTTTGAACTTGACCTCAATCTCTTCCTGTCTCCTTTTACCCTTTCACTCTAATCTCCTCCTGTCCTAGCTACCTTGTGTTTTCCTTCCGATGTCTTACATTTTGTCACCTTATTCTTTCTCATAAAGAGGTCTTTACTGAAAACAATTTGCAAGTAAGTAATTAGTTATGGAT